CACCAAATCAGTCCTACAGTAAGATGAGGAGATTATGGGGGAAAGATGATAAGTTCCATTCAGGAAATGTTGAGTGAAATATCCACAATGAGTTAAATTGCAGCATATAACCTAGGAAAGCTCATCAGAAGAGAAAAATTTGTCTAACTGCAAAATGAAAAAAATTTGTACTGTGTAAAAACATATAAATATAAAAGGTACATTTTAAAATAAACACACTGCTCTCAACAGTAGTTTTTCTAAAGAAACAGAAACAATACATATAATTTTTCTTATATTTAACATTGATAATCACTAACAGCACAAAATTAAGTCATTCTATATAGAAAATTCCATAGTAAACTGAAATCTTCTGAAGCAATTGTGGAGATCAGAGTAGTTACAGGAACAAACCTTATAGAACCTAGTGAATGAAAACTTAACATACCCCTTAGAAAATTCCACAATTGTTATATTAAAAATTTTGTTCTCTAAATTAAAAGCCAACTGTTTACTTTTAGAAGATAAATGGACTAAACCATAAAACAGAAATACGTGCTCATTTCTATGAAAAACAGCTCTTATCACCACAAGAGCTGAAAGACACAAACACCTCCAGTTTTCCTGTCTTAGAAGTTTCCTTTGACTACCCTCCATACATATCTTCCAACAATGTGTTACATGAGGCCCTCAACAGTCCTATTTTCACACTCAAGACACATTCACTTAGCACTGAATGAAAATACAATGTTCAGCAGAGCAGCATACATGTCAAATAATACAGCGGTAAGTAGAATTATTACCTACAATATCAGCTGACATAATTGGTTGCTAATGGGCTTTGGGAGGAACTAAAAATCTAAAATTTGTTCCTAGAATCGCTCTCCCTGAGAGGTCTTGATAACATTTTTTAACTGCACCCCTCTGCTGCAGCTTTAAAAACAAAAGGGGCAAAAATACACTTCAATAATCTTAACTAGGAAGTAGACCCGGGTAATCTGTGTTCTCTCACCAACTGTTCAATTCTTAATCTCCAGAAAGATTCTCTGTGCTTCAGGTTTCAGATTAAATGCTGATACAGGTGGCACCATTAAGAGACAAATCAAGAATATGTAAAAATCCAGATGGTGAGGTTAAAATCCTCTGGATTCCCCTTCAGTCTAACTAAACCCACAAAATCTACATTTTAATAGCTGATTTTCCGGAGATCACAAGATTTCTTTTTGCATATGCCCTTGATGGAAATAATGAGAGAAGGAGAGAAAAGCATATGCTAAATGCCTGAGGGCAACTGTGACAAAGGAAGAAACTACAGTTTATTAACACAATTCCAGCACTCACAGCACACTGCCTGCTCTAAATAGTCCAGAAAGAACATGCACCACACAATCAAATCTCTGTAACTAATGTGCTTATAGACTTTAAGAGGGTGATATTTACCAAGTAAATATTGGTCAAAATAGTAGCTAGCATTCAGACATCTGCTTTAAAGAGAAGCATCTCTTCCACCTGCTTCTACAGGCCACAGAGATACATTCTAGTTAACATATTACTGACAGGATGATGAGAAGGCTCCTGTCAGACGCTGGCCAGCCGGGTGTTTGAGACAAAATGCACGGCCCCAGCTGACTAGTTAGAGAAAGTCTGGTGAGGTACAATTATGGAAGCATATGACAAGACATCACGCCTGACTGATTTGAGAACCGATGACATGGCTTTAAACAGCAATCTTCCTTACCTCTGGTCACAAAACAGCAATAAGTTAACTGATATACTCTTGTATATCATGATTTATTCCTTTGCTTTGAATACATGAGTTTCTGGGATGATGTTCTGCTAGTCTACCTGAGATTCACTTGGGGCTTAAACATCTAGGGCCTGCCTACAGCATGTATAAAATCAATGTTCTTGTTCAGGATTACCAGGAATCCTTCTGTGTGTACCTGATAATGTATATATCAATAGAATAAACACAAAATCGACTATGTCCCAATTCATTAAACTCAAACACATAAAAATATAATAATCGGTCCTAACAAAATACTACAGTTTAATATACGAGGGAAAAACCCATTAAAATTTTAAAAACATAATATTCTTGTTATTTTTGCTAACATATCTCAAAACTAAATCTTTTGTATTTTAAAGTTTATCTCTATAAAGATAATTACAATTTGTAACTTTAACTACAAATAGCACCTAAAGAAACAGACCCTCAAGTAAGCTCATTGTCTACCAGCGTATCATCACTAAAACCCCAGCAAGCTAGAACGTTGACAAATATGATTCTAATAAAATTAATTAATATCAAAGAGTAAACCCAAACAAAATTCCTGAAACTATAATAAAATTATGAATGTAAAGACACTTTAACTTATACATATTCTTCCAATAATTAAAATTTTGGCTGTAGATTTAAAAAATAAAAAATGGCTAAAACACAATTTCTTGCACTAACATGAAGTACATTAGCGTCTTTATGGTATAAATATAAGAATTTAAAAAGCTTAAAAGCAAGTCAATTCATTGATACCTTAACTATTCCTTCCTTGGATGTTTCAGAGATTTCACTAAACTCTTTCTAAAAAATAGTTTATTTCTAATTTATGTTAAGGTACTAGTCTTTAACCTTAAACGTTACTACGTGCAGAATTTATAGCAGATATAGATATATAGATATAGATATACAGATACAGATATATGAATTTTCAAGATAGATTCAAGTAAAGCAGCTTCCCCTACATAAGAAAGGTAAGGAGAACATGAGAGCGAAGTTGAATTATGTTTATCAGTCCTACTGGCCCCGAGTCAACCAAAACAAAGCTGGTAGCTTAGAGGTGACATCAACATCAAGTATTCACAAACTGGCATAAACAATTGGTATTAAGTTTACCTCAAAGATAGGAAACAACTCCCTTAATAATATCAAGCCTTTATTAAATAATTTATTTTTTAATTCAATTAAAGTTAAAGGGTAGGCATGTTAATTTTTATTCTAAATTGAAGATCTATTCTATTATAAAATTATAGCTAATAATCACTGAATAATCATTGAATCTTACGCAGATATAATTCTAAGCACTTCATACATGTATATATATTATGTGTGTATACATATACATATATATGTGTCTGTGTGTATATTTATCTAAATATATATCCTTAATCTTTAGAGCAACCCTATGAGATTAAAACTGTTACTCCCATTCTCCCAGTTTACATGTGAAGAAACTGAGTCAAAGAGAAGTTACCCAGCCATTAAGAGGTATTTATAAATTACAGCCAAGAGAAACACCAATATTTTACAAAAAAAATTTGCTCAGATTTATTTCTAATGTTTTCCTAAATAAAGCAGCTTATACATTCATTCACATAGCTCACTCCTGCTCTTTCTTCAGATCTCTGCTCAAATACTACCTCATTAGAAAGGCCTTCCATGATGCCCCATATAAAACTGAAACCTGCCCCTCACCTTTTATGCTGCACACACACTCATATAGAAACACATATAATGTGTTTTTCAATATGTAAAATAATATTTTTTCAATCTTTTTGGAAAAGTGGGCATATCAATATTGTAACTCAAAATATCGAAACTTTATTTTTTTCAATTGCAGAGTAATGGAAATAACCCAAAAAATTAGAATCAGGAGACCCAATTTCACATTGCCTGTCTCCAATTAGCTATTTGGCCTTGGGGTGGTCATTTAACCTCTCTGAAAACACCTTTCTCATTGATAGATAACCTAAATACTAAATATTTAACCTAAATAGATACTAAATAGACAAGCTAGAGAAATCCTGTAACTCCCTCTACTCTAAAATACTAAAATTTCATAGAATGACATTTTCATTTCTACTATAGAACAAAACATAAAAATATTATCTTATTTTTATCAATTAACCAAATTTGTAAGGAAGCAAATTCATGCAATATTAAATAATGGTTTTTAATAAATATCTCATATATTACACAGAACTATATTTAGATTTATAGTAAAAATTTTTAAGTCAAAAATATTAGAATTTTGAGCCAGCCCCGTGGCTTAGCGGTTAAGTGTGCGCGCTCCGCTACTGGTGGCCCGGGTTTGGATCCTGGGTGCGCACCAACGCACTGCTTGTCAGGCCATGCTGAGGTGGCATCCCACATACAGCAACTGGAAGGATGTGCAACTATGACATACAACTATCTACTGGGGCTTTGGGGGGGGGGGGGGAAGGAGGATTGGCAATAGATGTTAGCTCAGAGCTGGTCTTCCTCAGCAAAAAGAGAAGGATTAGCATGGATGTTAGCTCAGGGCTGATCTTCCTCACAAAAAAAAAAAAATTAGAATTTTAATGCATAACACAGAAAAAATTAGGAAATCTAGCAAAATACTTTTGAAGATTTTTCTATGACCCAAGAAAACTCCCTCCATTCTTGCTGCCTTTACCACAGTAAGGAAGACCTTCCAAAAGAACATTTTAGTGAGTAGCATAAAACCTGTGATTAAAAAAAAATGCTACTTTGACTTTTAAGTTGTTATCAATCTGAAGAGCTCCTCCAAACCAGAACTATTATAGAATCTACTTTCTAACCACTACTTGGCAACAAAGATGAATCTACCTATTACCTGGTTAGGATAGCAACTATTATCATGGCCCCTTGATTTCTTTCAAGTAGCTCCAATGGAAAAAACCACAAGTGAATAATAAAGATCTCATAATAGCTCTTAAGAATTCTTTATACGGTAGAAGGCACTAAAATGAACTCCAGAGAGTTAAAAAGAAAAAAAAAAAAAAAACAACTCTCATCTCCTGATAAGAAAAAATAATTAACCTGGCTTAATGCATCTGAGAGGGCCCTTCTATAAATCAGACTTTTGTACTTCAAGAGCCAGCTTAAAACCACATATCAAAAAAGTATGTAGATATTGTCTTATAAGTACACATAGAACATTTCTAAATCTGCAGAGGTTTGTAGGTCTTTTTGTGAAATGCTCAATACCTTCTACTCAAAAGGAGACGTGTGAAGTACTTACAGTGCTTAATTTGCTAGAGGTAATAACGATACGCCTTTCGTGCAGCATACTGGCATACAGTTGCAGCATATTGTTCACATCCACGGCAACAAAATATTCTGTAAGATTTCTCTGCACAAGTGAAAAACAACTGGGTAAGTTATAGCTCATGGTGATTACGAATAAAAACATTTTATAAAACATTTATCAAAAAGTCTTAAAGTTCAAAGGATGTTATTATTAAAAACTGTATTCATTAAAATAATTAAATTAATACTATTCTGCTGCCACATGAAGCACGTAACATTCTATTACTCTTTGAAATATAATCCTACTCTAGGAGAATGTTTCTCAGAGGGTCACATATTTCCCACTCTCCCTCCCTAGGTACCTTAAAAGAAGCGGATTTCCTGGGCCCCAATCTAGACCTGCTGAATTGTAACCTTCAGAATATGGCCCCAAGAATCTGTTTTCTAAGCAAATACTCCTGGTGAATCTTATACACACTGATCTTTGGGAACTGCTACTCCAGAAAATACATTTGAGACTTTTTACATTTGTCAATCACTCAGCAGGCAACATCATTGTCTGATACTACGTACTATATACAAGACAACCAAAGAATGTGATAGATTTATAAGGCAGATCTTTGGTTCTTTATTAAGGAAAATCTCTTGTTTATATCCTATGTCAGGCCTGCTTTATACTACTATAACCAAATAAAATTTGGTGTTAGTCTAATTTGATTCCTTGATTTAACACTTTAAATTATTTTCCCCACCTAAGAACAAAATTGGGATAAGCTACATTAACTTGACTTTTAGATCCTCTGCCTCTTATTTTTAATTTTCTTTACTCAAACTTAAGTACAGCAGAAAGCAACAAAGTAATGAAGAGACTGAATAAGATATGATAATAAACTGAAACTGTACTACCAGGTGAACTATGACCTAGGAGGCTAAAAATTTTAGCTGGGCAAGAAAGCAAGAAATCCAGTCATTTCTTCAATTTCCAAACGGTAGAAACTTTACCAGGACAAACCAGTAATGATGGCAGGGCATATAAATAGAGCCTATAAATATCAGTAAGTGATGTTGAATTTAGTGAGGAGAGACTCATTTCATGTTTTCTCTATTTGAAACCCACCTCACTTTCCAATTCGACTCTTCATGTACGAAATTACTTTTATGGCACTGAATGTTCATTTTTTTTCCTATAATCTCGAAGAAAGATAATTTCTAGGTGAGGAATTATTTCTCAACAAGGAATGCTGTCTTATGTTTATGTCCTTGTTTGCTTTTTCCCCCCCCCAAACAGGACTTTTTGGAAATAAAATACCTTAATGGAAAGGTAAAAATGTATATTCTCAGTGGCAGTTTTTCCTCAGAATGATTCTTTAAAACTTTCAAAGTAATAGCCTCTAAAAAAACATAAGGTTTTTTAAATCAAACTATTAGCTGTTTATTAGCAAATGTAAGAAAGGTCAATAGAGGAGAGAGTGGAAGGAAGTAACTTTGACTTTGCATTAAAAACTCTGAAGTGAAGGGACCAGAGCCATATAAGTCAAGGCATGGTCAATCAGCCACAAGGAAAACATCACAGGGGGTACCAGGCCCACAGTGTACAGCGCACAAGACCGCAGGGCCTAGAAAGTGACCTGAGAGTTTTAAGGTCTCTCTCAGGCCCACATTAAGAGCAGCTTCCTGCAGTCTTCTCACAGGAGTTATCTGGACTCACCTGTACTAAAAGCACCACTGATAGTCTTGGTTTGACATTAGAAAATTTACAATTTTCTCCTTGGACTTCCTTCCTTCATAACCCATGTGCTTTTGGAAACCAAACAGTTATTAAGTTTGAAAACATTTCTGGAAGAACTGTAGAGTTCTGAGGAAAATGATAAGTATTCCTGGAAATATTTTTTCCTGTTGACGTTTCCTTCACTTTTGATCGAATCATTTCTACCAATTCATTTTATTTTTCCAACAGAAGCTGAAAAGAATTATGTAAGGGAATATTTCCTTTTCAGACAGCTTTTGCATATCTGTCACTTCTACTTATTCATGTAAAACTTTTCTACAGAATATCAATTTGTAATAACTATTAAAACACTGAAAATATTTCTAGTATGTCTATAATTAGGACTCCAAATAAAATGCAAAATTCAGCAATTTTTATAATTCCTTCTAGTACCACTCAAGCCTTACTAAATATGTATTGCTTAAATTAAGATCAGGGTATCAAGTACACGACATCTAAGATTTGAACAGAGATATATACAAGCAATCTAAAATACTATGGTCAGTTTATTAAAGTCACTCTTATGTGTGATTTTCATTATGTGTGGAAATATTTCCCATTGCCATATTCATTCCCTACCAGCAGAAGTCATCTCTCCACAGATCGCCTCCACCTGATCCAGGGGAGTTCAGGACCTAATTGAATACATATGATCCTACTCAACTACCCCAAATGGTAGAAATAGTTTTTCTCATATAATTCTCCTTATCTACAAGCAGATATTAAGAAGGCGGTAAAGTGGCAGATATATAAAGAAGAAAAAGAGATATCATTATTCCTAGTTCTTCATCATTTCTTACAAACATATTTACAATGTATTCTATTTCTCTATACAGGAATCCTTAAACAGTGAGACCAAAATAAATAAAATTCATCACTTGAGAATAAAAAACATAGAAAACAGAAAACTTACACTCTCAGGTATTGTTGGGAGTCCAGTTACATCAGGGGCAATGAAGTAGGAATGCTAATTAATAGAAATAAATCACATAAGAAAAGGAGAATTAAAATTTGGTAGCATTACATATAATTTGAGATAAAAATAAGAAAAAATATATCAACTAAATTAATAAATACCAAGGACTGACAAGCAGGATTTGTTGAACTTGAGAGATTCTACAATAATATTGTAATAACTTTGTATGGTGACAGATGGTAACTAGACATATCATGATCATTTCATAATGTACAAACATATCGAATCACTATGTTGTATACCTGAAACTAATATAATACTGTATGTCAATTATACTTCAATAAAAAAATGTTTTAAAAGATTCTTAAATTAGATAGCAGGTTTATATGAGATTTAACAATAACTTTCTCATATAAAGTGTTAAGTGTTGATTAAAAATATTTAATTTTAAAATTGAAATAATTCTAGAAAAAGTTTAAGACAAAAAAGTATATTACTGAAAGGTTTATAAAAATATATCTATATGAAAGGCATATAAATATATTTATTTAAACACAGTTTAGAGAGACTGGAAAAATAAGGCTTGCTTATCCAAGAATATATCAAAATCTGTTAAGATTCCTGAGTTTCTATGCTAAGTCACAACAAATTTCTCTTGTACATATCGGCCACTATATCATTTAGAAAGCAGCAATAAAACATAATTTTTAAATATTTAAAACTTCTTAAAAATTTAATTACTCATCCCAAAATATGACCCTCATACACCCACTAAACAACTATTAATTAGCTTCTATAATATTCAAAGCAATACAACAGTTCATAGATATACTTTTATAAAAAGCATACTGTGTTCATATTTCCAGTAATGTTCCCAAATTTTACCATCCAGAATCAGAGTACAACTAAATCACCCAAATTGTTTTATTTTCTGTTTATATTAATCACCAAAATTATTTTACTATCTTAATCACCTAAGGACATATTTAATACTGTCTTATAATTAAAGACTGGAAAAGAAATATTCTAGCCAATACAGAGCACAGTGGAACTCATCAGAACAAGGCTAGTTAACACAGTCATAATGTGTAATTTTCCAGGGTAGAAGAACAATATGAAATAAATCACAAGGTCTCCTGAGACCTTGTGACAAAAAATGTGACAGAAATCTCACGCTGTGAATGCACTTTAACATTACTACTACTGACAATGGAGAATATGCACAATTTTGGTCTCTATTAGCTACTTTTATTTGGAGGGGTTTTTAATAGTGTTGTATTTTATAAAACTACGCTTTAAAAGATAGTATAAACAGAAAATATACTCCAAATGATTAATTTTCTTAAAAGAGTCAAATTTACTCTTTCCCAAAGGATTGGAGTGAATGTTAAAAACACAGTGAAAGAAGTAATTATCTTCCCAATTTAATAGTGATTTTCAGAAGCCAATGTCCCTTTAACTCACCGGTACTAGAGAGGGCTGATCTTTCAGAACTCGCTCACTGGCAATAAATATCTCTTGGTTCTTATAATATGTGAGAGAAAAAATGAATGTTTTACTTTGATGGGGGAAGTTTACACAACAATTTGCTGTGTATTTGAGACAAACCTATGTAGCCACATTATCCACTGAAAATATTTGAATAACATTAATTATAAATGTTATTTTCAATGCTAACTTGCTAATTTTATGTTAGAAAAATCATAAAATATTTTCATTCTCGACAGAGTAGAGAATGCTGTGGATATTTAATAATTTTGAAATATAGTTTCAAAATAAGCATTTATATTAGATATTAACTTTTCATAAAATCTCTGTGATATTCTAGTGGTTATAACATCAAGTCTTGACAAATTCATGTGCTGGAGTATTCATGAAATATGAACTTGTAAGAAAATCATAGTAGTTTCTCAAGACTTGTCATGTTTTTTTAATAGAAATTCTGCAAACAGACAAAAAAATTTTTTTGCACTTGTGGAGAAACAAAAATTTCCATGATCATCAATTTTAATCTGGCATCATAAAACTAAAACCTCTACTAGTAGTTGAAGAAGAGTGTTTTAATCCCAACTGTACCACTCATTAATAGCACAGAACTGGGCACATTACATTATCAATCTGTTGTTGAAATCACATGAAATTACTAAATGGACTTGATACAAAATTAAGGCAATATTTTATCAACCAGCTGAATTTACCAACACTTAAGATACTGTATTGAGAATAGGTGTACAAGATTTGAAAGCTATCACAGACTACTGATTCAAAAGCTTACAAGAAGTAATAAGGCTTAAATTACAGAAATAACTACCATACATAGAAATAGAACACTCAAATTCCCTTAAGATTATTTCTGCTACAATAAAAAATATCTTCTCCATATGAAATGAAACTTCTATTCACTAACAATTAATATTTGAATAGTTTTTCATGGTATTTCTAGATATATCATTTCAAGTAATTCCCCCGACTACTCTCAAAAATTAACTCACTCTATTTCTCAAATGGAGAAAAGGGATCACCAAAAGAGATTAACTGTTTTGCCAACACCACACACTTAGTGACTGTGACTTAAACCAAAATCTTCTAGTCTTAGTATTAGGAGGCCTAGAAGTCTTTGACTTATGGTTCTTATTAACAAAAGCGAAGCATCTCAACATCCAGTGTTTTTGAAATGCATTTTTATAAGGAATTTATTTACTCTTGAACAAATATGATACTCATATTTAAAGAGAGAATATATTTTATTTCTCGTTAATACTCTACAATAGCTGATTCTATTATCTTAGCCTCCATATTTCCTTGACCCTTTAACAAAGTGTTAGAGTCACTTTAAAGACACAACTCTTTCAAAAAAAAAAGACACATTTTTTGAAAATCCAGAGCATTTCTTCGTTCTATTTGACATTTTTCCTTGGCCTTTCTACTTCATTGCCACTAACCACAAACTTTGCATTCTTTCGGCTTCAATGACCCAGAAATCAGAGTTTCTCTTTAACTGCTCCTTTCTCTAATTCTTTCACTCCATCTGCTTTTTTCTACCATAGAGTCTATTTGAGTAATTAGACCTCAGCCTCTGCTCTATCTTCTCTGTATTCTGGCCTTTAAATGGCTCAATTATTCCTACAACTGTCTGCAGATGACTCCCATATTTGGGTTAAAAATTTCAGCTTATCCTTAGCTTTCCAGCCCGCAATCTCCAAATGACTACTGAACATTTCCACTTGGGTAGTATGCAACAAAAGAGGATGCAGACATAAAGGTGCAGAGATCACAGGGAAAAAAGAAGACTTTAAGCTGTTATAACAAGAGAAAGTTTCACAAAGGTGGGACTTGAGCTAGTTCCAGACTAAAGATGCATAGTATACAAAGAGGCTTTAGCGAAAAAGGAAGGTGTACAAGTGAGAAAGCACAGTGTTTGTTCATTCAAGAAGATGAACAGAACAAGGTGACTAGACTAGAGAATCAACTTAGGAAAACAAGTGAGACAGAAAAATGAAAAGCTGGATTGAGGCTAAGAAGTGGGTGGTCCTGAAAGCCTGACCAAAAGTTTGGACAAATTCTATAGAAAATAGGGAGCTATTAAAGATTTTCTGCAGGGAACTTTACATAGTTAAGGAAGTTTAATCTGACAGTGTTTTGTAGAAATAACTAGAAGGAAGACTCTGGACTAAGGACTCTGTGAAGTGCTGAGCACCTGAACTAGGGTGCTGGCAGCAGGAATATAAGAACATAATAATGTAAGAGAACACTATTATTAAATGAAATTATGGGAGGAAATTTAGGCAAGAAGAAAGTTATTACCAAATAAAACATATAATAAGAATAACAATTTCCTTATCTTGCAAAAAAGCAGAAGATCTACTAACACTATTACATACATTTCAAGTTACTTTTTCTTTCAATTTCTCTTGCATCGTTATATATTTCTCTTCTTTATTGGGACAGTTTATTACAAATTTTAACATTCTATTTGGTACACCAAATTAATGAAGAATATTAATGAAAACAGCCATATTTTGTGATCATTAACTTCGAACCTTTACAAAACCCAAAATAGTAGTGTGTTTTTAGATATAAATGGTACAGTTCTTAAAAGTTTCAATAATTAATAATCTATATCAACACAGGCTTACTGTTTTGACACTTCAATCATATTTCCAGTGTTTGGTGATTATACTAGAAGCTGTACTGAAGTATGAGAAAAAGAAGAAGAAACTTTTCACCCAGAATTTTTATCATATGGTTAGTTATATGCTATATGCTCTATTTTCAATTCTTACCATGTACTGTTTTCATTTTATGAGGGATATTTTGTGTGTGGGGGGGGTTGTATATGTGCGCGCGTGCGCGTGTGTGTGTGTGTGTGTGTGTATTTCCTTATTATGGATCGATTTCAGCTGAAAATCAATGTTCCTCACAATCAAAATATTCTCACAGATTCCAAGTTTTCCTGGGAGCAGAGGTGACTTAGAGTTTCTTGAAGGTGCATATGTTCCTAAATGAGAAATGGCTATGGCTCCAAAAACTCAGTTCCTGATTGAATACTTACCACACTCAAATTGACAGGAGTGTTTGCCTTTGGTACTGGATGGTTATAGAGTGATTTGAGAGTTTCATTCAAATCATTTTCCTAGAGTAAAAAAAAAAAACAAGTACATTTTATAAATCAGATAAATACTAAGCAAATACAGCTAAAACTACTTGATAAAATCATGCACTGTGCCTTCTCATATTAGACATGTTTTACATAACTGTTTTCCACAGAAATGTTTCAAATAGTTGAAAATGAAATATTTAAATCTAATAAATATGGAAAAGATATTCAAATCTCTTTACCCAGAAAGAATAATAGCATTATTTCTACTTACTATAAATATGTATTTTGCAAAACTTAATTACTATAAAATGCACTGATGACACCTATAGAAGGAAATCATTAAATCCAAGAACGAGATTGAGTAAAAATAGCAATACAACTTTTTTATCAGTTCACTGAATGCTTTCACTGTCCATTTTAATTTTAAAATCTCAAAGCTAATTTTTAAGGAATAGATACAATTTAAGCAAGATTATTGTACTAACATGCAACAAAGAGGTTATTCTAAATATTTCTATTCTAAGTAGCTACTGGTCACTACTTGACCCGTAATAAATGGGATAAAATAAAATATGTAACACATCTACTTTATAGGAATTGTGCAATAATAATGTACCTTGATATGCACACTCACTTCTTCTGAATTATACCTACAAATCCAGTAATAAATATATGAAGGCAGCTTTTTATATACATAGTTATTTTTATTGTCTCTTAAAATGTTTATGTTGGGAGAATAAACCAAAGGAAAAGGCAATTATTCAAGGAAAGTAATAATTTTAAGAGATTTGGATATGAAAAACACGATTTCTCACAATTTCTCTTATAACTTGACTGTCAAAACTTAATAATTCAGATCTCTAAAAATGCTTGCATAAGTGGGCACTAACAACTGCCTATTTGAAATACTCTTTAGAACGACTAAAAAGAAAGACTTTAAAGAACTTATCTCTTGACCATTTAAACAATGAAATATACCACAGAACATTCTGGATGATACTGATGCTCTGTCTATACAAAATTCCTATGGCTACATAATTTTTTTAAAAGTCTAGCTTTTAAAAATCCTTTGTACTTGCCTGATGTTGATCAGGTAAGGATAACTTGAATTACAAAACCTAAATAGCAATCTAAATAATCTGTGGCACTGGATTACAAATGAAAAGAAAAAAAATATTACAATTATAGATTTACTTCTGGCTATTTAATTAATATAGTGAACTTATAATATTTTTTCCTCTAATTGGGAACACAAATGTAGTCTCCCTTATTTCCTCTTCTCTGAAAATCAAAATCATACGGATTTGCCCAATAGTATTTTCTTTTATATATTCCAGTATTACTGATGGTCTTGGGGAGAATATGAAATATAATAGATATATAAATATTAATTTATCAATATAAGAGTTTCTAAAAGCAAAGTATTCAAAATTTGGACATCTAAAACAAATAATGTTGGTTCCACATGTATACTCACAAAAACAAAGAACCAGAAATTATCATGAAGTAGAAGTCTGGTTTTGAGTTTTCACTACAATAATTACTTTTATTTCCAAGTATTTTCTTAGGAAAATGAATGACTGTACAGCTTCAACATAAAATTGTTCAAGTGTAAAATGACTTTCTAATGAATATTGCACAGAATTAAGCATATCAAGTGTAGAGCCAGAAATATTTACACACACATGCATACACACACATTCACAAATACCTGGACTTTTGACAAACACTAAAAACTTGCTATTATATTATAAAAATAAAATTTGATTGCCAAATTAGGAGACTGCTCACTAGAAGAGTAAAAGGAATGTCTTAATTTATTAATAATACATTTAAATTCTATTTAATAAAAAATATTTGGAGCAGTATTTGGGCTGAAATTAGGTTTCTTTTTAAAGATATTTATATTGAATCTTAAAAGATGAGTGTTCTACCAGTACTCCTAAGTGAGTGACCTACATAATTTTGAAAGACAACTATGCAGAGTTATGTTCTGGGAAATTTAAGTAGCTCAAAATAACTGGATGGTACACTATGTATACCAAAGTGGGAGTAGATTAGCCAGGAATGAATGAAGAAGTCAGATCATGAAGCTTCTTACTTGTCAGGATGCACACAAGTTTAGATTTTATTCTAAGAAAAAACAGGGAGCTGTCAGGAGGATAGTAAGCAGTGGAATGATCTAATCAGGTTTCAGAGAGATCATTCTTAAAGACAAGAACATGGTGGTACTAACAGCTAAGAGTGTGTATAAAATGACTGTAAATAATACAGAGAGAGAAGAGAAAATAAAACTAAGAACATAAGAACACCAAAATTTTAGGTGCAGATAAACGAAAAAGGTCAAACAAAGACTGAGGACACAGCTAAAAACAAGAAACAATGTCAGGACAACCAAGAAAAATACAATCTCGAGAGTGAGGGAGTATCATATGAGAATTTAAACAGATAACCAGAGGATGAAAAATATATCATGAATTTGAAAATTAGAACGCAACAACAGTCAATCATTAAAGATTAAAAAAAAAAAAACTTTTTATCTGAAATAAACTGCATCAAATAGCACAGCTAATACCTTAGTCAATTAGTCCTCGCTAAAAACATCAAAGAATGATTAAGGGGAACAATTTACAAATTATCATCCCAAAGAAGTTCATTAATTCAAACGCAAACCGGTTTTTGTTTTATTTTTAAGATACAAAGATAAAGACCTAAATGAAAGAGCTAAAACTATAAAATTCTTAGAAGAAAACATACAGGAAAAGCTACATGACATTGGATTTGGAAATGATTTATTGACATGACACCAAAAGCACACGCAACAAAAGAAAAATAGATAAATTGGACTTCAAAATTAAAAACTTCGGTGCCTCAAAGGACACTATCAACAAAGTAAAAGGGCAACCCACAAAATGGAAGAAAATATCTGCAAATCATACATCTGATAAGGGATTAACATCTGAATATACAAAGAACTTACTACTCAACAACAACAAAGCACGACTAAAAACTGGGCAAAGGACTTCAATAGATATCTCTCCAAACAACATGTACAAATGACCAAAAAGCACATGAAAAAGCTCTACATCACTAATCATTAGGGAAATGCAAATCAAAATCATAATCATATACCACTTCACACCCATTAGGATAGCTTTATAAAAACAAAACAAAAACAGAAAATAACAAGTGTTGAGGAGGATGTGGGGAAACTGGAACCCTGTGCACTGCTGGTGGGAATGTAAAATGGTACAATCACTGCAGAAAATGTTACAGTGGTTCTTCAAAAAAATTAAACATAGAATTATCACATTATTCAGGAATTCTACTTCTGGGTATATATTCAAAAGAAATGAATGCAGGGACTCAAACAGATATCTGTACACCCATGTTCAGAGCAGCACTGAGGTGAAAGCAACCCAAGTGCTCATCTAGAGATGAATGGATCAACAAAATGTGACGTGTACATACAATGCAATATTACTCAGCCTTAAAAAGGAAATTCTGACACATGCTATAACATGAATGAACCCTGAAAACATACTAAGTGAAATAAGCCCATCACAGAAGAACAAATATTGTCTGATTCTACTTATAAGAGGTACATAGTCAAATTCATACAGGAAGTACAATGGTTGCTGCCAGGGACTTGGGGGAGGGGAAACAGGAAGTTATAGTTTAATGGGCACAGAGTTTCAGTTGGGAAGATAAAAACATTCTAGAGATGATGGTGTTGAGGCTGCAGAAAAACGTGAATGTACTTAACGACACAGAACTGTACACTCTGATAATTAAAATGGTAAATTTTATGTAATGTGTATTTTACCACAATAAAAAAAAATGGGGAAAAAAAACATAGCTTACCAGTTCCTTAGCCAAGTAATCTGCCAGAGTATTTAGAAGCTTGTAATATACTTCGAACCATGGCAGGTAACTGAAGAAAAAAAAATTACTTAACAAATGTATATATCGTTTAGAATCAAGAAACAAGATGACAAAAAAAACATTAAACTTATATTATTTCAAACACCTTGATCCTGGAGGGAAGAAAAGAACTATACCCATGTTTTCTTTACTGTTACAGTGAAATTTTACATATTTTCTATTATTAGTTTTCATAAGATAATCAGAATCCAAAGTTCTACTATAAAAGTTATTCATTACACACTTCTATTTTATGTCAGCAGAATTGAAAATTATTAATTCTATTGCATGGTATGAGTACATCAAAAGCACTCAAAGGACAAAAACTAACCACTGTAATAATATATAAAATAAAAACTAATTTTAAAAAGCTTTTAAAACAAAGATACAATCATTTCTTTTTAAATATTACTGAATTGAGTATATAATACAAGAGAATTATGTGCTTAATTAATCAATTCTTCAGAAATTGATTTTTAGTAAGATGGTAAATTTCAAAATAAATACCAATACAAATAACAGAAAGTCTACTTCAAAAACTATAAACATTGTAAACAGCTTTTAGATATCAAAAACAAATATAATTCAAAATTCATTTTGATTCATTTTGCTTGATACAAATAGAATTCATTTTTATGAAAGCAAAGCACCAAATCCAAAAATCAATTGTACAAAATAAAATCTGTACTCTTTATTAACAAAGTGAGGTATTAGTATATTTAAAATCTATCCAAAGTTTTTAATTGTTAATTAAAATGTATGCTTTCCACATAGAATACTAAATCACAAAACACACCAGTGTAGTTAATTATCAATTAACACATACTCATTTTTCTTCAAAGAATTACTACAACAGGCTACTTTTTTAAGAGAAAATAGTGTGATACTTCTACTACATAACTGTATACTGACAGGAGTACACATACATAAAACAGATTTAAAATAGAAAAATCAATGAATAGAGCTTAGAAAAACAGCATTCTATCTGCATTTTTTCATATAACGCCTGATTTATTAGTGACTATGAATGATGCTTTTGGGATCAGGAGTAACCCAAAGTCATAACAGAAGAACAGTTAGATAAACTATAGTATCTTCACTCAGCAGAATGCTATAGAATTCTTTAAAATGATAATTAAAAATACTAAGTAATGGGCCAGCCCCGTGGCTTAGCAGTTAAGTGCTCGAGCCCCGCCACTGGCGGCCCGGGTTCGGATCCCGGGCGTGCACCGACACACTGCTTGTCAGGCCATGCTGAGGCGGCGTCTCACATACAGCAACTAGAAGGATGTGCAACTATGACATACAACTATCTACTGGGGCTTTGGGGAGAAAAAGGGGGAAAAAAAAAAGAAGCTGCTTCAAAAAAAAAAAAATACTAAGTAATGGTATAAGAGATGCTATCTACCAACTTCTGGTTAAATCTAGCATATTGAATACACACATTTATCTCCGTGCCCTTTGGAAATGCCACTAAAATGACAGTAAATGAATAAAAAGGGTATCGGAGAGAAAGAGAATGGAGAAAAAGGTAATAGAGAGCAACACAAGTGAATGGTTCTGTAAAGATGGAAAGGAAACTAAGACTGATAACTGACCCAGCAGAAGAGAGAACAGAAGGAAAATAACCAGTAGCGAGTAGATTTGTCCCCACAGACCCCTCAAACACTGACTTGGGAATCTCGCAAAGGAAAAAACACCTCAAAGGTCCTACTTCCTTGGAGTGAAACCCACCACTGCACGTACAACGTTTCTAATTCAGTTTACTGCCCCTATCTTAAATATAAATTAACAGTCCAACCCTCAGATATTTGAGGAAATACAAACATCACTACAAACATAAATACAGGAACCTCAAGTAAACCCAAATAATACGAACAGCAGACGAGAACTTCAGCAAGTTACCATTAACATCTTCGGGAGCTGAGTAAAGCTCGGGATGCTACTACAAAAAGACATCTAAAGAAGACGAAGAAAGAAGTGGTAAAAAGGATTAGTAGACGACAAGAAAGAGTTCTCAGAAATTCAAAATATAAAATCTGAAAAAAATTAAAATCAATAGAAAGGTTAGAAACTAAATCAAGAATATCTCCTAGGAACTAGAATAAAGAAACAAACTGAGGGATGATGAGAGAGCAAATATTAAAATATTAGGGCATCAATCTCGACAATCATGTAGTTGACTAACAGTAGTTCCAAAAAGAAAGAAAAGAGGGAAACAAGGAAAGAAAATTTCTTTTTAAAAATTACTGGAAAAATTCCCAGAACGTTAGGCATGAGTCTCCAGATTTAAAGTGCTACTGGGTGAATTACAAAATAAATGAGCCAAACCAGAGTATCACAGTGAAATTCCAGAACAGGGGACAGAAAAGCACCTAAGAATTTCCAAAGAGACAAAACAGGAAACATACAAACAACTCAAATTTGTAATGTCACTAAGCTTCACAACAGCAATCCCGGCAAGTTACAGTGCCTTCAAAATACAGAGGCTAAATCCTCTGCAACCTAGAATTCTTTGTCCAGTGAAGCTATCAATCAAGTACGGGGATAGACTAGAAGCATTTTCAGTCATGTTAGGACTCAAAAATTTACTATTTCTCAATTTACTGTTACTCCGTACCATTTTTGGGAAGGTACTAAAGGGTGACTTCAACAAAATGAGGGAGTGAAGCAAAAAGGAGGAATAAGTCTAAGAATAAATTGTGCAAAGGCTGAGAGCAATCAGTCCAGACTGAAACAGGCATGAGGGCAACGGGAGGGAGATGCTGGCAGCGTGGTTACAACAAGCATGTTGACAACTTCTTCATGTGGGAGGCTGGAAAAATCTGGATAGGTATGTGACAAATTTTTGACAGCTTTTGGGAAATCTGAAAATCAGAAGTTAATATTGGTAATCGCAATTTTCAAATTTAAATTATTCAGCTCTTTAAACTCTAGGGCTTAGATGGCTGTTCTACTATATCTTTCACTTATTAAAAAAACCTTTAAAAATTACTAATATTGTTTTTAAATTATCAACTCAATATGATGCAAATTACATTATATTTTCTATACTCACTATAACTCGACAAAATAATTTTCATGGGGAATGGTCCTTCTACCAAGATACACTAGAGTTCCTTGGATGGAGGGCAATTTCTTTCATCTGTAGTCACTTCATATTCACATTTCAACTTTTAATGGCCAGAAGAAATTGCTATTTCAAGAAAATTTCAATGTGTCGTGTAGTTCTGATCTACATGTTCACATAAGATGAAACCTAATCTATTTCAAGGAACATGCTGGTCTGTTTCTATCCTGGTTTCAAGAATCTTTAGATAAAGCAAAATTTATTGATTTTAGGTGGTTGCATGTCTACCTGTTAATTCATACATTGTCATTTTAACCTTATTCAAATAATGTGAAACCTTATTGAACCTTAACTCATCTTTCCTGGTCTGCTATAAAAATAAAAAATATAATAAGTATCTCATAATTATAAATTATTACAAAGTGAGATAATCTGTTTTTTCTTGACCAAATACCTTAAAACTCCTAAATGTTCTGGCTTTCTCATCTTTATTTTTTTTATTTTTATTTTTTTTAAAGATTTTATTTATTTATTTTTTCCCCCAAAGCCCTGGTAGATAGTTGTATGTCATAGCTGCACATCCTTCTAGTTGCTGTATGTGGGACGCGGCCTCAGCATGGCTGGAGAAGCGGTGCGTCAGTGCACGCCCGGGATCCGAACCCGGGCCGCCAGCAGCGGAGCACGCGCACTTAACCGCTAAGCCACCGGGCCGGCCCTCTCGTCTTTACATTATTACTTTTCATTGGTTATCCTTCCCCTTTCAATTTGCTTTCAAATTGTGAAGATGAACTGGAACCCAATTTTTCATTAAGAAGCTAATTTATACACATAAATACAATTTATCTGCAAGATTACTTACTTGTTTTAGAAAATGAAACAAACTGCATTAATAAATAATTAATATTTAAGTTACTTTTCAAAATTTAACAGCTTTTATTTGTGCTAGGTATTTTGGTATCTATATAATTATTACTATTTTTTATAATCTCCAAGAATACTAACTTTTACTGAATTTTGTCCTGGTACCAGGCTATGTTTGTTCTTTATACAGGGTATGCTGGATTTTGCGCTCACCTTCATCCTCCTGATTAACAAATTCAACACAACTCTATTACAGTTAAAGCACTGCTGGACACTGTGTTGTTTTATAACCTCTAATATGACTTCATCTATAAATCAGACTAGCATTACTTTAAAAAAATATATTATAACAAAGTTTACACTTATGGGATATTTCTCATAGTCATCTTGAAGGCCTCATCATGCTTGGTTATTTCTATGTGGGCAGTATAACTGACTAGTCAGTTCTACGCCCATCTAGGGAGTAGAGAGTAGAATTTAAGAATCAGAGACTACATATGTTAAAATAATTGGAAGTACAGTAAACAAAATTTCTTAAGCACTAACCAGGTACTTTATATGTGTTATGTCATTTAATTCTTATAAAAATGCTACGATGTATATATATTTGACTAAACTAAGGTAAAGCAATTTATCCAGGGTCACAAAGTTACCAAATGGCAAGCCTGGTCATTACATCTCTGATCAACCTGACTGAGCAACATACACTCAGGGGTCCACCACAGACAGTCCATCACCCAACATAGGCATTTATTTTTATTTCTATAGTATCCAGCCTTTGAATAAACATGTCCAATGACCAGAAATTTTCAAGCAGCTAACCAAATTGTGATAAAATTCATTTTGCTTTAATCTTAAATCAGTCTACATATAATTTCTATCCACTGAAGCAAATTCTATCTTCCAAAATTTGTTTAACTAATGTCCAGAGCATTATCTTCATGCCTTTTAAATTATATCTTGTTCACGTGCGCAAATTTCTCAGTAGACAAAGATCTGTATGATTTGATTCTTTCATCTAACATATTGGTAATTCCTTCCAATTGCAGACTTTAGTACTGTTTCTATGTTCATCACTG